TAGGTTGGCAGAAGCTGGGACAAGTCACGGGAGCTCACCCCGTTCCGCGGCACTCGGGATTCGAACCGCTGAACTGCCGATCTTTCGATCGACAAGCTCAGTGCCTTAGCCACTGAGCCACTGCGTCCCTCATAGGGACATCATAGGGACTAGGAAAATGGGAGCAAACCATTTCTGTACTGCTCTTTATGAAAACAACATAGATCTATTAATAAATGACCAGGAATTGAACTGAAAACAAAGGAGCTTTTTTAAAAAAGACTTTAAGCCCCAAAGATAATCTCTATCGATGTCCTCCGTGTGTATGTGTGTGTTTGCACACGTATTTTCCAAACACACACAACTTTCCATGGTTTCTGTATTCCGAGCAGCTCGCCTTCCCCTAATAAAATGCAAATGTCCCGAATATAAACCCACCAGCCGTTAACCCAAATTGAAAACGAAATGTAAAATTCAAGGGGTGGGGGAGAAGAATAAAATACCTGCCGTTATCCAGAAGGAGGTTCACTAGAATTCAGCGGGTTTTGTTCTTCCTGAGGGATTAAGTCCCACCTGTAAAACGCACTGAACGTTTAACTTCCTTCCAGAAGAGGGAGAATTGTCACCTTGCCCTCAGGAAAGAGAGGCAATTAAAAAGGCTGCCGAGAAAATTGTACGGCGGGGGAGATGGGATCCAGCCTTTTTCTGCTCTGAACTTCCTCTCTTGCTAATCTGCAGCAAGCAATAATATAACTGGAAAGTCCCATTTTCAGCCTATTCCTTCACCTGTCAGGATGAGAAGACTCTGCCGACTGACAGGGCACCACTATCGCGCACGAGTTTGAGATTTCCACTCTGCCAAAAATGCTGAATTCTCTCGGCTTTACTTAAGATGGAAGCTGAAATCCTCAGGCTGGCCTGTGAAAAAAAGTGGTTTGAACTCCGGGTCACTCAATTTCAACTCAGCCTGGCCCAGTTAAAGATAGAATTCCGAACTTGAATGATGGTTTACGTGAGCACCCCCATCCCTGGGGGAACTGAGACTTTAGCTATCTTGCTGAGCTACAACTTTTTAGTGTCGTTTGCCGTTGACTGTGATGGATGGGAGCTGTAGTTTAAGCCCAGTGTTTCTCAACCTCGGCCATGTTAAGATGGGTGGGCTTCAATTCCCAGAATTCTCTAGCCAGACTTGAGAGTTGAAGTCCACCCATCTTAAAATGGCTAAGGTTGAGAAACCCTGGTTGAGCCACAGCAAAGTTAGGGTTAGTATTGATGGAGAGTCAGATCAACTCAAGTCAAAACAACTCAAGACAAGTCAAGTCAAGTCAACTCAAGTCAAAACAACTCAAGACAAGTCAACTCAACTCAACTCAAGTCAACTCAAGTCAACTCAACTCAAGTCAAGTCAAGTCAAGTCAAGTCAAGTGAAAAAAAAATCTGGATTCCTAGAACTGAAAACCCCATGAAATTATTAGGCCCATTTTGACCTCCGTAGACAATTTGTGAAATGCCTGAAAAACAAGGGGAAGAGGGAATGCAGAACAATTTCTATTGTGCACCTCAAAATGCAACAGAAGGAAAATGGACTGAGAAGATTTGCCAACCATAGAACCTGTCCAGTGGAAAGCTTGTTTTGATGGATGCTTAAAAGCCATCCGTTTTTGGAGAAAGGATATAAAGAAGAAGAATAGCGGAAACTGGATGAAAGAACTGGACATAAGTCACAAATTTCAGTGCCGTTGTAACTTTGAATGAATGGTCGTAAGTCAAGGACTACCTGAATTCATGTGTCCCGCACGACATGTGTGTAGACATCCAGCAGAAGCTACCATGAAATGTGGGGGGGAGCAATATCAGCATGCATGTTTAGAATAATAGAGTTGGAAGGGACCTTGGAGGTCTTCTAGTCCAACCCCCTGCTTAGGCAGGAAACCCTAGACCACTTCAGACAAATGGTTATCCAACATCTTCTTAAAAACTTCCAGTGTTGGAGTATTTACAACTTCTGGAGACAAGTCGTTCCACTGATTAATTGTTCTAACTGTCAGGAAATTTCTCCTTAGTTCTAAGTTGCTTCTCTCCTTGATTAGTTTCCACCCATCGCTTCTTCTTCTGCCCTCAGGTGCTTTGGAGAAGAGATTGACTTCCCATTATTTGTGGCAGCCCCTGAGATATTGGAAGACTGCTATCATGTCTCCCCTAGTCCTTCTTTATACAACTTGCATTTGAAGAACGAACTAATTTAGTTTTTCTCGACCTTGGCAATTCCCTGGGAATTCTGGGAGTTGAGGTCCACCCTCTTCAAAGTTGCCAAGGTCAAGAAACACTAATTGATGCCGGTGATGTCACTTCCCTTCCTTTAAAAGACTCTAAATTCAATCCTTCTGATTTATTTATTTATTTATTTTTATATGCCACCCTTCTCCGGAGACTCAGGGCGGCTTACAATGCGTTAAGCAATAGCCTTCATACTTTTGTATATTTTATACAAAGTCAGCTTATTGCCCCCACAAACCGGGTCCTCATTTTACCCACCTTAGAAAGGATGGGAGGCTGAGTCGACCTTGAGCCTGGCGAGAATTGAACTCGCAGTAATTGCAGGCAGCTGGATGTTAAATGCTGCCTTAGTAGGAGGCATTAGCCTCCTACGCCACTCAGGCTCCGATTAAGCCTATATAGGAGAAAAGAGGGGAAAAAAAATTGTTTTACAGGATGGGAAGTAGCGCCTGGGAAAAATATAACATGAGAATGTGCAGCCACAGACAGAGAAATAAAGAGAAGCAAGATTTCAGATCTGATCTGGGGTATTTTCAAGATTAAAATTAGCTCCGGCATGCAAATTAAGGTAATAGGATAATAATTTTAATAGCTCACTGTAGAGATTTGAGTGCCTCAATTTAAAGGGATTTCAGGAGTTGCAAACAAGAAGATGAAAGTTCACATTTAATTACAGCTTTCATCTATCCACATGTAAACTTGCAAACATACACAGAACCTCGCTGTTGTCATACAAAAGGACGGGGCGTGTAGGAATTATGCTAGCAGTAAAAAGGGTATGTAGAAAATGTTGCTTTTGAAATTCATGCAGACTTTTCTGAAAAAAAACAACAACCAACCGAAGGGATGCTATTCGGTACAGAAACAAGGCTCTAGAATTAATTAATTTCCCCTTTCGTCCTCCGAGTTTTTTTTTTTCTGCCAGATGCCAAGATGGTGAGGTTTGGCTTTCTCACAGCTAATTTCTTAGTTTATTTACTTGGGAAATCCCTAGATTAAAACTCTGAGAACGCAGCACAGCTCAAACTATGTTAATGTAACACAGAAGCAAACGAAAACCAGTTGCTGCAGGAACACGCAACATCAAATTCTGGAATCCAGAAGCTGCCTGGTCCGTGAGAGGGATGTCATATAAATTTAATAAATTAAAATGAGTTTTTTTTTTAAAAAAAACCCCTTACAAGGCACTTATAACATCTCTATCTGTTTTGTGTAGCAGAAACCAACTTTTGTGGCCTTCTGATGCACGTTTTGAGTTAAGTCCATCTGGCCAACATAGGTCTTTCAACCAAGAGGACTACATCCACCCAAATTTATTTATTTATTTATTTGTTTGTTTCCATTTCTATACTGCCCTTCTCCAATAGGACTCAGGGCGGTGAACAGCCAGAGTAAAAAACAGAACATACAAAATTTAAAAGCAACTTAAAATAATTAAATATTTTGGCCGTAAATTAAAACAACCCAATTTAAAATCAATTTAAAATTTATTTAAATTGATTATAAATTTATTAAAATCTATTTAAAATCAATTTAAAATCCCAAGGGTGCTTTTTTTCAAGAGGAAACTGGACTTCCTTTGTTTTTCCTTGAAGACATTTCACTTCTCATCCAAGAAGCTTCCTCAATTGTCACTTCGGTTCAGTCAGAACTGAAGAAGCTCCTTGGATGGGAAGCAAACTGTCTTCAAGGGAAAACAAAATAAATCCAGGTGCCTTTTGAAAAAGCACCTTTGGGACAAACATGACTTGGATGTTTGAGAATCTCCATAGACATCCGTACACATCCCAGATCCGATCTTGGGTTCTGCAGCTCTTTTGGGACTCAACACAGCTCAATGGGAACGTCAAGAGGTCAGGAGACAAGTCAACCTTCCGTGGAGCCAACTAACCAACTAGGAGTCAAACTAAATGGTATCCATTGCAATTCCAGATCAGAAACACACACCAATTTGAGGAACTTCATCTCAAGAACCCCAGGGATGGTGGCCGTCCATCTTTCCTGCAGAGATGGCGCCTTTCCTCCAAGGCGCATAGGAGACCCCCCCAAAAAAAACCCTCTTAAATTGCCATTTCCATCTATCACAGCCTCTTCAAAAATTGTGGTCAGATTGCATTTTATCAACATGCGAAGGAAACAAGCGAAGCACAGGAAGAGCAAGCTATTAACTGCACTGAATAAAAAGAACTGAAGGTGGATGAAATTAACATGAAAAGGGCAACACATTTGGATCTGGTCCTGCCTAATCCCTTGACCCAGAGCCATCCAACTCTTTGGAAGGAGACCTTCTGCCGGCATTTAGAAGCCAAGGGAGATTGCCACCTTCACAAAGATTGCCCACCCCAGTTTCTCTGCCAAGAAAAATCCCCTCGGCCATGTCTACTCACCACATGGACCAGATCCATGGGGAGCAATGGATCCCTGCCTTGCTGAGCCTGCAAGATCGTATACCAGCAAGATCTCGCCCACCTTCCACGATGAGGTTTGAAGGACTTCCCATCTTGCTAAGACTGAAGAGTAGGACTTGAGACTTTGATTCCCGTTTCCCCCAGCAAACATGACCATGGCCAAAGAATGATTGGTTGGTAATTCAAAATATCCAGACAGCACCAGTGGCCCCAGAATCATGTCACCGGATCTCTTCACCATGACACAAAGAGGCAAGGAGGATCGAGTGTTTCCGCCCCCCCCAATCTCCACCGGGGAGAAGCCACTCAAGGAACTGAAGAACTCAAGGACCCTACCTTCAAACTCCGCTGGAAGTCTGGGAATCGCTGAGTCCCGTAAGCCAAGGACGCCCAGCTTCTTCTTCTGGGCCACTTGAAGGCCACCTTCACCAGCTGCTCCACAGATTTCTTTATCTCTCCTGCAAGCGTTGCCAACTTCTGCCTTTCCTCCTGCCTTGTGGGTGTCCCTCCGAGGCACAGGACACCGTAGGGCAATGCAGCATGATTCCGGAAACACCCGCCTACCCTCCTTGCGATCCTTTGCAGACCTGGGGCCTATTTATAGCAGGCCCAGCCTGCCTCACTTCCCCTTCTCTTCGGCTCAGAGACGGCTCTCACCACAGTTCCTCCTGCGAGAAGCAGAAAGGAAGTGTTGTGTAGAAGTCCTCTCCTCACCTCTAAGGGAGAAAAGAGCTAATGGGGGACATCCAAGCATTGCCAATGGGTTGTGGGTTGAGAAGAAGGATGTCTGGAGGATGACCATCTCCAAACTAAAAGGAGAAACTTGGAGGATCCAGCTGAAGACCTCTGTTGGGTTGACCAAGCTAGCTTAAATCCACTTAGTCTTTGAGAATCTTCCCACGAGTCTCTCCTTTTCTCTTGATCCATGATGAAAGGACTCCAAAACCCATTGGCAGGTCTTCTGGTAGGACCAAGCAAGCAAGAAGTGGAGACAGCAGACACTTCGATGGGGGAGCGGGAATGGGACAATTGGATCGATGCCTGTTTTGCTGTTGACCCTGGCAAAGGAAGGTTCAAGAGCTGTTGGCACAAGTCTTGGATGGACATTAAGGAGCATATTTAACACTGTCCTTGAGCGTTAGGTCAACTTCAGAACCTCCTAAAAGACAGTCTCTGATTGGTCTCTAGTCAGTTGCAAAACAGGCTCATCCTGTCGCCCAGAATGAGAAGTTTCCAAGCGTACATCTGATGCTAATAGAAGTTGAGCAAAAATTCTGCCGAAAAAAGTTCCATTCAATGTTTTGTTTATTATTTGCATATTTCGCTCGACGCTTGTTCATCGCGAAGAAAGAGGAAGTGCACCAGGCATTAGCAAGAGACCCTTTCCTTGCATGGTCTCCCCAGGGCTGCTTCGTATTGTGAGATATTTGCTGGGTATCACTCAGATCTCCTTGCAGCTCTCGATCGTCACGAGGACTAGAAACCTGACTCTTTTTTCTTTCCGATGAGAAAAGGTTCTCCGTAAAGCTGAGTGTTGTGCTCGCAACCCAATTGCATCATTTTTATTTGGAATAACAATAGGCTTCGAACCCATGGAGACGACTGACAATATTGTCTGTTCTGTTTTAATTGTTGTGAGCTGCCCTGAGTCCTGTGGAGATAGGGCGGCATACAAGTCCCAACAAATAAATAAAAATAAATAAATAATCGAGCTCTTAGGCAAGACGGCATAGTCCTCGTTTAGTGCTTGCTTCATTTAGTGACTGTTTGCAGGGATGATGGTGATGAAAAAGTCCCTGGGTGACTTAAGCCTGCAATAGGTCTGTAAAGCAAAGGAAAGCTGAGGTCAAATCGCTTAGCGACCACTTCACTTAACACAGGTCCCAACTGCGGTCGTTAAATGAGGACAACCTGTACTGTCGAAAGAATATGCTCACTTGATTGTTGCTTTCCAGAACTGGGAAAAAAGACGACGACTGCACAGAAACAGGGTGAGATTTTGGACCTGTCATTTCTTATGTCAGAATCAGAATCATAAAAGACCTGGAAGGGACCTTGGAGGTCTTCTAGTCCAGCCCCCTACTCAAGCAGGAGACCCTAGAGCATTCCAGACAAATGGCTGTCCAGTCTCTTCTTAAAAATCTCCAGTGATGAAGCACCTACAACTTCTGGTGGCAAGCTGTTCCACGGGCTAATTGTCCTCACTGTTAGGAAGTTTCTCCTCAGTTCTAGATTGCTTCTCTCCTTGATTAGTTTCCATTCTTTGGTTCTTCTTCTATCCACAGATGCTTTGGAGAATAGCTTGACTCCCCCCTCCTCTTTGTGGCAGCCCCTGAAATATTGGAAGACTGCTATCATGTCCCCTCTGGTCCTTCTTTTTAATGTCATTTAATCTTTCCCATAAAGTCTTATAGTCGAGCATTGTCTCCGCTTGCTGAGTCAGCGGGCTGAGTGTGAAGTCATAAAAATTTATTCTAAATGGGTCCAATGATTTTATTCTCCAATCGTAAATATGGAATTTAATTAGCGGCTTGCCGATGATGAAGTTAGCACGGCAGATGAGAGGGGTAGGAGACCCAGCAGTTTTCAAGCATAAAACAACCTGAAATAAGAACGAAAACAATAAATTCCAAAGTCTTTGGGGAACCCAGCAAGAACCCCTGGACTTGATGTTCTAACAAGATGACACCAAGCTGGCAGGAATAGCCAACGCTCCAGAAGATAGGCTTAAAATACAGAAGGATCTTGATGGATTTGAACATTGGGCGCTATCGAACAAAACGAAATTAAATGGGGGGAAAAGGAAGGTTCTACATTTAGGCAAGAAAAACGAAATGCACAGTACAGAATATGTGGTACCTCGCTCAGTAGTGGTGACTGTGAGAGGGATCTTGGAGTCCTAGTGGACAACCATTTAGATATGAGCCAGCCGTGTGCAGCAGCTGCCAAAAAAGCCAACACAGTTCTAGGTTGCATAAACAGAGGGATTAGAATCAAGATCACGTGAAGTGTTAATACCACTTTATAAGGCCTTGGTAAGGCCACGCTTGGAATCCTGCATCCAGTTTTGATCCCACGATGTAAAAAAAGATGTTGAGACTCTAGAAAGAGTGCAGAGAAAAGCAACAAAGAGGATTAGGGGACTGGAGGATAAAACATATATGAAGAACGGTTGCAGGAACTGGGTATGTCTAGTTTAATGAAAAGAAGGACTAGGGGAGACATGATAGCAGTGCTCCAATATCTCAGGGGCTGCCCCAAAGAAGAGGGAGTCAAGCTATTCTCCAAAGCACCTGAGAGTAGAACAAGAAGCAATGGGTGGAAACTAATCAAGGAGAGAAGCAACTTAGAACTAAGGAGAAATTTCCTGACAATGAGGACAATTAATCAGTGGAACAACTTGCCTCCAGAAGTTGTGACTGCTCCAACACTGGAAGTTTTTAAGAAGATGTTGGATAACCATTTGTCTGAAGTGGTGTAGGGTTTCCTGCCTGGGCAGGGGGTTGGACTAGAAGACCTCCAAGGTCCCTTCCAACTCTTGTTATTCTATTCTATTCTATTCTATTCTATTCTATTCTATTCTATTCTATTAAGAAGATCTAATCCTTTGGATCATGGACTACTTCTTCTCTATTCCCCCAGGTGGGGGAATAGAGTGCTAAGTGATTTCTTTCAGAGTTCCTCAATCAGCAGAGTTGAAAAGAGCCCTTGAGGTCATCAAGCCCAACCTCCTGCTTGGCACCAACGAAAGCCATACCAAAATACAGGCAGTCCTCGACTTAACAACGATTCATTTAGTGGCCATTCGAAATTACCATTGCCCTTCTCACTGGTTTTTTTTTTTTCATTCTTACGACCGCTGCGACATCCCCATGGACACGTGATCAAAATTCGGACGCTTGGCCACTGACTCCTATTTATGACAGTCGCATTGTCCCCCCAGGGTCACGCCATCCCCTTTTGCAACCTTCTGACAAGCAGTGGGGAAGCCAGATTCACTTAATAACCGCATTACTAACTTAACGACTGCGGGAATTCATTTAACAGCGGTGGCCAGGAAGCTGATAAAATGCAGCCAAATTCATTTAGCGACTGTTTCGTCGAGCGACAGAAATGTTGGAGGGGGGGGGTCAATTGTGGTCGTAAGTTGAGGACTCACCTGTTGTTGTTTTAATTAGTTTAGTGGATATCCCGGTGCCTGATTCCACTTCTCAGCTGCCTAGAGATCAACCCTCTCTGTGTTTGCAATCCTGTTAATCATTTTTTTTCCCTCCCTTCCCTGATCGTATTTGTATCTCTCCGCTTTTGTTCTCGACAAAACAAAACACCGGAGCTTTGTGTTAAAGGAGAAAAGGGGGGTGGGTGGGTTTGAATGGGACTTTATGGACACCCCCACTCCCATCTTTTGATTTCATGACAATGCAATGGCGGTTAGGGTTTTCTGGAGCCAGTTCTTCTAAAAAATAAAAAAATAAAAACTATTTACGGCACCCGCCTCTTTGTAATGTTTTGACAATGCTTTGTAGAGGTAACCTTTGCAACAAAAGATAGATCAGTCCTTCTGCGGCCGGCCATGCCAAGTCAATTTTCCCTGGAGTGGTTCCAGGGAAGCTGGCTGGATGTTTTGCAGAAGTCGTGGGCTGGAAGATTAAAGTCCTGCACTGACGTTGTTGATAAGATTTTGTCAAGCTTTAATATTCTCTTGTGTTTGTTTTTTTTTTGGCTCGGCAGGTTCCCTGCGCGGCTGATAGCGAAGAGGAGGTTGTGGTGAGTTGATTGGGAGGCATTCAGGACCGTCGGGTTTTTTTTTCCCCCCTCTTTGATCGCAACCTTTCAAATGTCCAGGGATCCCAACGCCCATGGTTCCCAGCCACTCCCTCTCTGGCCGGTGGCCATGACGACAAGAGATTCTGGGAGTTATCTAAAGGATGGCAGAGAGAATTGTACCGTAAATAACTACCGTGTTTCTCCAAAAATACGACCTACTCAGAAACAAGGGTGGGTTCTAAATTTTTTTACTACCGGTTCTGTGGGCGTCATATCGTCACCGCTACCGGCTCGGCCGAACCGGACCGAACCAGGAGGAACCCACCACTGCTCAGAAAGTAAGTCCTGGTCTGATTTTTACATGTGCAGCCAATATAAACCCTATCCCCAAAATAAGCCCTAATTAAGACCCGGCTCACTCCAGGGTGACCAGGTAAAAATTAAGCTAGGGTGGGGATCGGGGAGGGGTGGAGCTGCCCTACTACTTACTTTCGGATAGTTACAGCCAAGCCTCGCACACCTCCGCCCATATCTTTTGCCGCAGCTGGCAAGGCTTTCCTGAAGGCCTCTGTAGCCGATAATAGAGCTCCGGATGGATCCTAGTGGACAACCATTTAAATATGAGCCAGCCGTGTGCTGCAGCTGCCAAAAAAGCCAACACAGT